CTTAATTGTAAAATTAACAAATAAATAGAAACTAATTTGATTAAAAAAAATTGACACCTAAAAATTTCGAAGTGGTAATTTTTTGTTTTCTTTTTAAGTGAAGTGAAAAAAATGTAATATGTTTGCACGATTGAGCTATTCAATATCATTATTTTTTCAATGAATTTTTTTTATTTGGTTGATAAAATCAGTTCTATCTTTGTTTCATTTCTTTTTTATGTGTATATACTAATATGAGTGTATAACTATGTAGCACGGATTCGGATTGGACACGATACGGAGATATAACACGGATACGAGAATATGGTAAAATCAAAAAACATAAAACACATGGACATAACATATATAATATATAATATAAATAACATGGCAAAAATATTATATATTAATATAAAAATGACCTACTAGGTCTAAAAAATAATTATTAAGAGACATTATCATATTCATAATTTTCTTTTTAAATTTTAAATCTTCCTTTCATTGTTTTTGTTTTTCGTAAGATTTTTTCTTTTTCTATTATGTGAAAGTTAAGTAAGGAGAGATATAACAATTCTCTTCATTATTTCTATTTTTATCAATTATATATATATTTTTTTAAATTTCAAATCTTACCTTCTTTGTTTCTATTTTTATCAAGAATTTTTTTTAAAAAAAAATCTCAAATTTTCTCTTTTTTATTTATGTTTTTATTGAGATTTATTCTTTTTTTTAAAAAAAATTTCAAATCCATGTATTACATTGAAATGAAAAAGTGTTCGGTCAACAATTTCGCGAAGTATATTGATGTTATTCTTAGTTTTACTGAATTCAACGAAGACTTGGCCCCTTTTTTACGTACTACTTTGCTGGGCCCTCCTTGGCTTCGACAAAATAATAATGTTGGGCAAATATCTCCAGGTTCCCTCAAAATGTGGTTTAGTTTCCTTTCTTGGGATGTAATAATATCTGGGATGTGGCAGAAAGACGTTAGGATCTACCCTTACCAACCTCAGATGTTTTCTCGACAGTTTGGTCTTTGCCAAATGAAGCCTCTTCCTCTTCGACGTAAGGAAAGCATTGATGCTAATATTTGTGTCGAAAAAGGGAATTATCAGGAAGTTTTGGATTTCATTCTAAGCCCCGAAAAGGAACTTAAGCTCACACCATACATTTTCTCTCCCTCCTTCTTAGTTTCAAAGTGTTATCTTCGATGGTGGTGTGAATATTACGTAGATAAAATTATCAATTTTGATGATTTTTTAAAGAAGCTGATCAATTCTCCTCTTTCTTCGCAGGGTCTGAAACACTCAGGTACTTACAAGAACCAAACTATTATTTATCAATTCGAGCAATTTTTTAAAGTTTGTTATCGACTTGACAATATTAGTCGAACCATCTTTGATGCATCTGTCTCTTTATCGAAGATTCAAATATGGGCAATGTGTGGTTGTAAAATGTTTTGAGAATTCCTTGTATCCACCAAAATCATAATAGAGAGCAAAATAATTAGGCTATGATTCTTCAAGGATTACGAAGAATAAAATCCCATGAAGTCTTAACTTGACAATTGAAGTTGGATAGTAAAATCATCCTTTACCAACAAAATGATAAATTTAGGTGGAAAGTATTTGTGTCCTTGATGATATTTCTCATTGTAGTAGGCCAGCGACACATTGCTCTTGTAATTGACATTGGGAGAGTCATTTGAGAAGAAGATGAATGCATGACTTCGTGGTGATTTCCTTTCTACTCCTGTTCTTTGAGCTCTAAAACGCATACATAAAATAAAAATGTAAAAGGATCTAATTAATTAGAAAATTACTTTTTTTAAAAACCTTAACCTTTCTTTTACTCTCCAATTAAAACACTTAACCTTAATCACTTTCCTTTCCCTTTTAATTTAATTAAATAAACAATTATAATACACCTTATATTATATTCCAAACATAGTAAATAATTAAATAAATACTAAACAACTCCTATTAATATAATAAAATACTAAAATTATTAATAAAACACTTATAGTATATTTTATGAAAAATGAAGTATTACAAAACTCAACATTAGTAATAATCTAATAGCCAAGTACGTGTCCTTGTAGTACGCTTGGCCTGGTTAGATATGAGTCTAGTGGACTCCTATTAGTTTTCTATGTCAGTCAAAATTAGTAATGCTAATACAAAAAATGTTGAAATGACCAATTTAGTATACTAATTTGATCTAGCATCAAGAAACAAAAATAATATTTTTTTTCTCTATTATAAGAAAAAAAATCATACATATTTTATTTTTAAATATAAATAAGTTTTAACTATTTTTATCTCATTTAATAATATTCTTCTTAAAATATATTTCTTTTAATACAAGACCTTTTTAATTGCATTACTTCTTTTTTGACATTTATAATAAGATAATTTATAAAAAATATTATAAGATTAATAAAATTTAATGCAGATAATTAATTTTCTTAATATACTTAAAAAAATTATTTTTTTATGTGTTTATAATAGTGAATAGGTGGAGTACTTTTTAAACTAATATAGCTAAACTAAAAAATAGAAAAACAAGATAAACTAATATTGCTAAAATAAAAAAGACAAAAACAAGAAATTAAATATTTTTAAAAATACATATTTTAATTTTAACATTATAGTAATTAATTGTATATTTTTTTATATATAATTTTAAATATTTTTAAAAATACATATTTTAATTTATCCTTTATAAACTTCATTTAATTTTTTAAAACATTTATGAAATGTGAATATCTAATAGTGGAAACACATTACTTTCCCTGATCTAAATAATGGGTTGTTTAAGGTTAATTTTCATTAACCAAGGAAAGTAATAAAACTCATTAAATTCCATGAAATTCCGATTATACACTTGACATTTCACATTCAATGTACCATTAATATGCCATCTTTTTCACCGCATATTGCTTCAAAGATACCACCTATTCAGATATTCTTTCTTCTCTCTTTATAATAAAGTATTGATTTATTCTCTACACCAGTTTCTCTTTCTGAAAAATAAGTAAGTAATATATCTTTGAACTTATCAATTATTCATTATTCAATTTTATATATAAAAAAAGATGCGTAAAATAATTTATGATATAAAGGTTTAATTGAAAAAAAAAATGTAATCTTAATTGTAAAATTAACAAATAAATAGAAACTAATTTGATTAAAAAAAATTGACACCTAAAAAATTCGAAGTGGTAATTTTTTGTTTTCTTTTTAAGTGAAGTGAAAAAATGTAATATGTTTGCACGATTGAGCTATTCAATATCATTATTTTTTCAATGAATTTTTTTTATTTGGTTGATAAAATCAGTTCTATCTTTGTTTCATTTCTTTTTTATGTGTATAGTATAACTATGTAGCACGGATTCGGATTGGACACGACACGGAGATATAACACGGATACGAGAATATGGTAAAATCAAAAAACATAAAATACATGGACATGATATATATATAATATATAATATAAATAACATGTCAAAAATATTATATATTAATATAAAAATGATCTACTAGGTCTAAAAAATAATTATTAAGAGACATTATCATATTCATAATTTTCTTTTTAAATTTTAAATCTTCCTTTCATTGTTTTTGTTTTTCGTAAGATTTTTTCTTTTTCTATTATGTGAAAGTTAAGTAAGGAGAGATATAACAATTCTCTTCATTATTTCTATTTTTATCAATTTTATATTTTTTTTAAAAATTTCAAATCTTACCTTCTTTGTTTCTATTTTTATCAAGAATTTTTTTTAAAAAAAATCTCAAATTTTCTCTTTTTTATTTATGTTTTTATTGAGATTTATTCCTTTTTTAAAAAAAAATTTCAAATCCATGTATTACATTGAAATGAAAAAGTGTTCATTTGCAAGTGTCTAAAACAGAGACACCTTAATTTTATAAGTGTACACAATGGTAGCACCTTAATTTTGTAGTTGAGGCACGTCTACGACGTGTCTCCTCCTAAAGAGTGTCAAACTCGAGAACACGGTAGTCTCATTTCGTATCTGTGCAACACAGGTGTATAATGATCATATACTATTGTAAAAAAAATTACATAACCAATTAATAAAAAATCACAATTTCTATAATTTTTTAAAATAATTATTATAAAAGGCAACAAATTTATTAAATGAATTTGTAAAACCGTATTAAATTGTCCCGTGAATTACCATTAATGTCTATCATTTTTTCCAAACATGACAGGTAATTGGGTAGCATGAAAGCTCCACAAAAGAAAAGAAACAAAGAGCTACTAATATCAATCCATAAATAGAGGAACCAGCAAATCATTCACCAACATAGGATCCCGTCCACCCCCAATACACCAAAACCAAAACACCGTTTGTTTAATTTTATTACTTACAGGAAAATGTTAAAATTGTGCGGTATAAATGATCTCCCATTTCCAGAGCATCCAAAACAGAAAAAAAAAAAAAAAAAAAAAAAAAAAAAAAAAAGAAAAACCATAGCCACATCCACACGTGCAATATGCAGACGACAACACAACACGGTTTGAACACAAAACTCGCACCCACGTTCATCCCTCGGATTCTTCGGAGTTTCCAACTCAAATAATCTCAAACTCCACCCAACTTAACTTCCCCTCCTCCCCTCCTCTTATATATCCACACCCTCTCAAAAAAAAAAAAACAAAAAAAAAAAAAAAACCTTAAAAAAAAAAAAAAAAAAAAAAAAACCTAAAAAAAAAAAAAAAAAAAAAAAAACCTAAAAAAAAAAAAAAAAAAAAAAAAACCTAAAAAAAAAAAAAAAAAAAAAAAAACCTAAAAAAAAAAAAAAAAAAAAAAAAACCTAAAAAAAAAAAAAAAAAAAAAAAAACCTAAAAAAAAAAAAAAAAAAAAAAAAACCTAAAAAAAAAAAAAAAAAAAAAAAAACCTAAAAAAAAAAAAAAAAAAAAAAAAACCTAAAAAAAAAAAAAAAAAAAAAAAAACCTAAAAAAAAAAAAAAAAAAAAAAAAACCTAAAAAAAAAAAAAAAAAAAAAAAAACCTAAAAAAAAAAAAAAAAAAAAAAAGAAGCGAACCCAACTTGTGATTGAGTAATCGAAAACAAAAGCTGCAGGTCCCTGGGCGAGGATGCAAAACAGCATCAACAGACAACACTCCCTTCGCGAGAAGCTAAAATCTTCGATATGCTGTTTCACGGGGCATGAGCCGTTGGAGCAGGGAGAAGGGTTGTACAGCAAGTTCCGCATTCCACGCACGCCCATTTCCCCCTCCGGCTCCACCTCATCCTCCTCATGGTTCAAGCTCCGATCCCCTACGGCCGCCTCCACCGAGTTCGCGCCACGTGTGAGAGGCCGCAGCCTCAAGTCCCGAATGGGTCGCAAGTTCCTCCACCGCCAGTCACAATCCGCCGATTTTAGCTACGACCCTTCCAGTTACGCCCTAAACTTCGAGAACGAAAGCCCCCATGACCATGAGCTTCCCTTCAGAAACTTCAGCTCCCGCTTGCCGGCCTCGCCGCCGCCGGTTAAGTGTTCCGATTCCGATCAGATTCATTCATTCTGATCCTCTCTTTAGCATATGCCCTCTCATCCATCTCCTTCTATTCTACGCAACTAACTAACCACACCTATGCATCGATGAATGTTTTATGCCTTCTTTTGGCTTTTCCTTTCCATTCAAACCCTAAATTATTGCTTCTCTTCATTGTAATTTATTTTATTTCTCGCTCACCTTAATTTTCTTTCTTCTTTTTTATTCATGACGTAAATCATTCTTTTCACAATACAACCAATGCTACCTCTCAACTTTCATTTTCTATAGAGTACGTCAATTTTAATTATGGAAGAAACTTATTTTATTTTATTTTCTTGGGTTATAACTTTTTTTAAAAAAATTATCCTGACATGGTCTAAATATACCCCTTTTTAGTCTCTAATATATTTTTCATAAATATAATAATAATAATAATAATAATAATTAATTTACATCATTAGCTCTTAATGTGAATAATAGGTATATTGTTATGAGCTCCAACCATAGGCAACAAAGGTTGATGATGGAATAGTGAATAGAAAGAGTTTGATTTTATTTTATTTTTTTATTAAGGAGGTATATATATTTTTTTACATAGATTCTAATAAGAATAAAGTCGGATTTTCATACATGACTTTATGTCCAAATCAAGTGTCAATCTTGATTCTTGTGTGTATCGATTTTTGATAGTTTGGTGCATCTTTACTACAACTTGCTAGAATATTTCAAAGTAAATGTGAAAAATTCGTGTTTTATGCATCAAAGAAAATTGGAAGAGAAATCCCCAAAAAAAAAAATCAATTTTACAATTCGAACTTAGACCTTATATATCGTTCAAGTAGTACAATCTCATCACCTGTCTCATCCTCTCTGTCTCACTTCCATAATCACCAATAATATTCTGATATGTCAATTAAAAACTTGCACAGCCATATTTGCATGCAAGGTGATGGGTGTGAGACAGTGCATGAAGTGGTTAACGCGACTCCGGATAATAGGAAAATAGGAGTTCATAGTTAAGGGACATGGAAACTGAAAAGTCACCTGAAATGTATATGCAATTTTTAATTAACGTATCATGATATTATTGGTAGGACAGGAACATTTGATTTTGGTCTGACTCTCATTTAGAAGTGTTTACAGGTCGGGTTGATTTAAATTTGGTTAAAAATCCAATTTAAAGTAATTAAGTTTAATTAATTTTAATTAGTTCTAATTAGTTCAGATTTCATGAATTCTTTTGCTTAACTCAAAATTGAACTAATTTGATGTTGTTTAAGTTGATTTGGTTCAGGTCACGATTTAAAAAAAACAAAAATTCTCAAATTAAAGTGAATAAATTTTCTAACATTAACTAAAATGATATATTGTAAAAAATTAACTAAATTAATAGATTTGCAATATAGTTCTTCTTGTTTCTTAATCTACTTAAAGATTTCAAATATATTACAATGTATAAAAACAATACTCAATATATTATAATATAATTCTTTTGATTTCTTTAAGTATTTGAAAAAAAGAAATGAAAAAGTCTACATATTTTAACATAAAAATATATTTAAAATAATTATAATGATACATACATATTAATTATTAATCAAATAAAAAATAATATTATAAAAATTAATTAGTTTGATTTGGATTTTAGATGTATAAATTTAATACTTAAATCAATTAATATCAAATTTAATTTATTTGATTCGGGTTAAATCTGAAAAAAAAAATTTCTAAATTAATTTAATTAGTTTGATTCAAATTATGAAATTCGTCAAATTAATCTGATCCTATTGTTGGGTCCATACGCTCCCTCCTGTTTTCACGCACTACGCATTAACAACGCTTATATGTTTCCGGAGCAAAGGATCAATTTCTCAATTTTAGCTTCTGTCCATCTAAATTATTCTGTGAATAAAAAAACTCATACATCGATAAAAGAGAATATTACTTTTATAAAATTAGTTTTATAATTAAATTAATTTTCTTCATTAAAAATAATGCAATTTTAATAAATATTGCCATACCCCAAAAACAACATATGAGGGAAGAAAATTTCATTTCAAAAGATATATTACAATTGCATTGTTCTTGATGAGGTCAACATCAAGCCTGTTTGAACCACATTCATGTCCGTGAGTCTTTATAATACAAGTTAGTATATATATAAACCACTATTTAAAGAAGAAAAAAAACTAGTGGATGTGAGATTTTATGCCTTGGGGATCACATCCTGAGTTACATGCAATTTGTACCTGTCTGAGGACACACTCGTAGTCTTCTGGGGTGTAGGAGGGTCGAACGAGAGCTTCAGGTGGATTCTTCAGAGGGGGGAGGTACCTGCAAAAGGCACTCCGACGCTCAAGTCAGGACAAGCACGATTTTCTAGGGTAAAAATGAACAGTGACATACCTCGTTACGTGTAACCTATTTATAATACCTGACATGGGCCTGAGCATGGTGGGCCTTCTCTGACATTTACCAAATTAGGTAATACGATGTTAATCGGCTGATTATGTCTTAATCATGTGCTTATCCTTGTTAATCATAATCGTCGTTCTAATTATTCGATGCTGACTTTTGGCCGAACCGAGACAAAACGGTCGAAACGTCCTCTCTCGGTTTCTGGCCGAGCCGATAGGGGAAGAGCACAATTCTTAGTCCCTTGTCGAGCCGAAGTGGTATTCAAGCAATGTCATCTGATAGTACATGACGTGCCGGTCCACGTGGCCGATCCACGTGGCCGAGCCGAAATGATGTCTGAGCTGCGTCAATATCTGATAGGACATGATGTGTCGGTCCACGTGGCTGATCCACGTGGCCGATAGGGTCCTTCCAGTACACAAGCCCCCCAGCCTTGAGGAGTGCAAGGACATAAAGGGTAAAAGCGACTTTACAGTTGTGACGGTTGAGGTGGAGTGGGGAATTGTAACCGTCGGGCATTAATCGTGGGGCATTAACTTGGGAACGTGGAGGGTTATAACCGTTGGGTTGGTAACGGTAAAGTAATGATGAGAGGGAGTTGAAAAGTTGGAGCCCGTGGATCGTTGGATCATATTGATCTGACGGTCCCTAGAGGGGTAGCAGTTATCATTCGTATTTTGAAACACTATAAAAAGGGGTGGTGGGGACCCAATTCTAGTGTGTTCACTTAACTGTAGCGTGCGATTGCTCCGAGCCGACGTAGAGATCATCCTTGAGTGCGAGTTTCTGACCGAGGCCGACTTCCGATTCAGGTACGTTTCAATGGCTGATTTAAATATAGATGTAGAAGATAGGGTTTCCGAAGCTGGTTCGACTGGGAGTAATAGGGGTACCTCTGCTGATACGGGTTCGCGTGAGTCTTCTCGTCCGATAGCCTCAGATTCAGCAACGCAGAGATCCGTTAGTGTAGAGATTGTTGAGGGGTTTGAGCAGTCGCGAAGTGTGGAGGAGGCTTCTTCCCTCGAGATGACTGAGGGCCGACCGAGTACTCGTCGAGTCGGTTCGGCTTCGCGTCAGTTCGACCCTATAGAAGTCTCTGGCTATAGATGGGTTCATGGGGAGGTGGGCAGTGTATTTTCCCGATATACTGACAAGAGCTCAATCGCTTTGCTGTTCGAAACGGAAAATTTTGTTACGCTTCCGGAGCGTGAAGTGCCGTCCGGTTTCTTTTTCGACTCATGCCAGAACGACGGGTCATGGGAATCGGATTTTGTTTTTCTTGGCCGAGGGAGGTGTAAATATCATTTCTTTTTTGTGTATGACTACTTGTTTCGGGATTTGGGCGTAACCCTCCCGTTTGATAAGTTCTTTATGAGGGTGCTCCGGTTGCTTAATGTTGCGCCGACACAGTTACATCCAAATAGCTGGGCCGCGATGCAAGGGTTTCGGTAGTTATGCTTGACGTTGGGTATCGAGCCGACTCCCCATATGTTTTTGTATTTCTACTCTTCGTTCTCCTAGAAGCTTGGTTCCTCAAGCTTCTTCACTTCTTTAAGAGGTGACCAAACCTCCCTAGGTGCTTTTCCTGCATTGGAGTTTGCTTCGTGGAGCTTCAAGAGTTTTTGAAGGTTTAACCTCAAGAGTTCTTCGGTCCTTGCATGGAATACTTGAATAATCAACTTTCTTCTCCAAGTGCTTCCATCATCCACATCTCGAGGGGCAGAGGTCCCCCCGACCTCCTTCTCCCCCCTCTTTCTTTTTTTGCGGGTCTCCAAGGGGGCAATCTCCTCTTCTTGAGGCTCAGGGATCTTGATCTCGGCAACGTTATAACGAGACTTTAACTCACACCACTTGCTCCTTCCCATTATGCCTGCAAGTACAAAAGCCAAATACATCAGTAAAAGAAATTTTAAGAACCCTGATGGCCTACAAAGAAGGCCAAGTGGTTATCACTGGTTCGGACAGAACATTGCTTGCTTCAGCCATTTACCATCTCCTACAAGGGATTTAAAGTAGGGTTTTTCAAGGTGATGATTCAGCCCGAAAACGACAATAAATACTTTTTTGATGAAGCAGGAGAGGCATTTTTTCCTTTGTATTGGACTTGGGCGCCAAGAAAATATGATGTGGTGTCAAAGTCCAAGATGTTTGTTGAGGAGAGAGCTGACTTGGAAGTGTTGGAGAAGTTGCCGCGGCCGTTGCCGTGCCGAGATCTCGTTCGCCTTATGAAATCAGCCCAACCTGTTGATGATTTAATTGGTATAGTGTCTGTCCTTTACCTGAATTCCTGTGTTGCCATTGATTTTGACTAGTGTTTGTGCAGGTATTATGGCAAACTACAAAGACGACTTGGATATTCGTGCCCTGATCCAAAGCCGAGTCGCAAAGCAATCGGCTCCACATGGAGAGAGCCAGGCTCCGGCCCGTGAACCGGTTCGGCCTCAACAGCAGCCGAAGGAGAAGAGCAACCAGGATGCTCACAAAGTGAAGAACAAGAGAGGGGCTGAGGCCGAGGCCGAGGCGCGCCGGCAAAAACAACAGAGGCTGCCTGCGCTTGTGGCCCCTCAGGGGCTTGTGAGTCCTAGCTTCTTGGTGTCGAATGTTAGTGCCCAAGACTACCTGAGTCAGGATTTGACTTCGGAGATGGGGCAGTCCATACTGGGACAGATGACTTCGTCCCACAAGTGGACTTTTTTCTGGGAGTTGCAGGCTCGGGCCCTGGCTTTGGCTCAAAGCATTATGATGCAACTGAACGCCGAGGCCGACGGGCTGCGCGGACAGTTGGCCGAGTCACAGCCTTACTCCCACTCAAAGACAACCAACCATAGGGAGGTGCGCCCAATTTCAGTTGATAAAAGTGAAGAA